TATGTTATAACCTTTTTATATCTTATTAATGTTATAACTAAAGTTATAACTCATATAAATGTTTGCACCCTTAATTTGAAAAAAAGGGAGGATAATCACAAAAGAAGGAAACCGGTTTGGTTTAGACGATATCGGTCTGGTGTCATCTATATTTTTATCATTGTTTTTTACTTTGCTCTTGCTGGAAAATACTTGTAATCTTTGCCATACACTTCAATATGTCTTTGCTTTGCTAACCTAGAAAGAGCGTAAAAGAGGGCTTTCTCTTCTTTCCTACCTAATAGCAATTTCTTTTGAACGTTTTGCTTCTTTTATTTTCTCATCAGCAGATTCAGCCTTCAACCTCGCGCTCATGTCTCTGTGATATAAAATAAACAGATTTTGAGATTGCAGGATTTTATTGCTGCCTGTCCTTTTTTTAGTTTCTTTAGAATTATTGATGAGCGTTATAAAAGGCATTAATAAGAAAATCATTCCATGGCAGAACTGGCATTTAGGAGTCTTTATAGTTGCTGCTTGTAGTGTAAAATGAAAAGTGAGAGTTAGAAAATGAAACGATAGAGAAAAAATGAATAAGTAAATCTTAGGAACAAGTAATAAATACTACGAAAATAAATATGTTGAAAGTCATCTGTTGAATAATACGCAAGACGTATAATAAAAATATTTTACAGAACTTACTTTGACTATTTAATTCCTTAATCACCTTTGCGAGTTTTATAACTTTTCCACCAGAAATCCCAAAAGGATGACTGACAAGCTGTTCATCAGCAATCATCTTGGCCACGAAGAATTTCAAAGTCAGCATCATTAAGTTTTAAGTCTTTTCCTCGTAAAAAAGTTTTTAGTCCACAATAAATTTTTTCACGTCTTCTAACGCAGTACTTGTAGGTGAGAAGTGAGAAGTGAGACAAGTGTGCAGTCGACAGTTGATAAAAATTTAATTTGCCCGGCCTAAAGTAAAGTAACTTAATTATAGTTACACGAAACGAAATTTTTTAATATGAAAATGATCTGCGTGACGTTTGATATTTATTTCCCAAATCTTTCGTCGTTTTTGGCGTTTACGCGTTTACTGATTAATTATGCTGATTTTCAACGGAACAAATCATTTATTGTTTTTATTGTTATTACCTATTGCATTTGACATAGGAGGAAAAACAGCCGGTTTGGCTTTATCATTATCATTATTTATATATTACAGTATTTTAGGTTTAGCAAGAGTGCTGTGGTGGAAAAATCAGGGTTTAGGTTGGATATTTGTAAGTGATATGAAGAACATTTATGCCTAATCAACTTGAATAATAATTGACGTCTTTTATCCCATTTTTGTAGTTACAACTTTTAACAATATCACAACCCTTCTTGTTTCCTTATTTTCTTATCCATTCATTTCAAATTACATACACGTTGATCGGAGAAAAACAAATACCGACTATTTTAAATTATTATGAAGCTTTTTTGACATATTTAGCGCCATTATTCGCAATCATTGAAGGTGCTTCTACAGCAATAGTTATTATTATATTTAGACACAAAGTTCAACAATATTTGGAGCAAGACGAAGGAATACAAGTATGGTAGTTCTGAAAACGATTTGAATTATACTTTAACGATTTCAAATAACTATATCATTTTTAATTATTCTTCATAGATATTTATATCTGTAATATCGTTAATTAATTACGTTGCATCAAGTTATGTACTTTATAGCATCTATACGATATCAGGAATGGATATATATAACGCGACATTGATCGGATCATTTATGACACTAACCCTTGTAATCACAATTTCGTTGGCTTTAAATAAAATAGATGATACAAATCTTTGGCCAGATTTATCTCTTTTGGTAAATAAATTCTTTTTTTATTTTTTTTTTTTGATTAATATAACTAATCTTATTTATTTTAGTTTACTTATAATGTATATTGTATATATATGCTGTCGTTCGATTGGAAACCTAATGTATCGGTGCAAGATCATCATTTATTGATTGATAAAGATAAAGTTCCTCTTCAAGTCTTTCAGAACTTCGATACAAAGGCCATAGGTTTTCTTAAAGAGTAATTTTAATATAAAATTATTATTTTTTTTTTTTTTTTAGAAAATGCTCGAAATTATAAGAAATGAAACTAATTTAAATTATTTAATTATATTGTCGTTTAGAGTGAACATAAATACACATCTTATTGTAAAGCATTTGATGGATTTTGTGGGAAAGATTCGATCGATAACAGCCATTCAGAAAGCTTTATCTTTAAAGTTTTTCATGGCAATCGTATATCGTTCAGGCGTTATTTTGAGTGCATTTTATTTCTTGAAAATGCAAAATGAAGAAAATGATGAGTGGGGAGGACTTGTTGAAGAGAATCTGGTACATACATAATATTTAATTTACATCTCGAATCTTGCGTATTAGCTAATTTGTAATATTAATATATTTAGAGTCAGAGAATCCTGAATTTCATCATGTCATTAACTACGCCGGGTATTATTGCCGTATATACACATCTTTTACTTTGTCATTATGATTATTTAGACACTGGAACTGGAATGTGGAGATGGGCTAGTATTGCAGTGTGTTGGATATTATACATGCGGCATCTCTATGTTGAGAATGAATAATAATTCGTTATGATTCATAATGATTGATTTTTTTTTCCCAATCTCGGTTGAAAGTGTAAAAGAAGGGATTGTGTTCGTTCTCGAATTGTTTGTGCATGGGCTTTGCTATAGAAGCGATAAATTGAATATTTCAATGTATATAATGAATAAAGAAAAAATTGCAAAATCTTTTTTTAAAAATTCTATAATTTATTTGAGTATGATAATTATTTCATAGTTTCAACACAATTTTAATTTGTCAATATTATTCCACTTTAATATGATCCACAACTTAATATCAGTAACAATAATAAAAGTGTTTAAATAGATTATGTTAATACTAACTAAAAACCATTTGATTAAATACATTGAACAAAAGAAATATTCTAAATATTCTAGACTTACTAATTAAAATTGTTAATCTTTAATGGTGTTCCTTCTGCTTATGATGTTCTGTAATAAATTAAGATTAAAATTAAATTATTTGAAATAAAAATCAAAAATATATAATGTTACTTACTCAAATTGAAGTGATAATTAATGGCATAACCGGTCAAAGTAATCGCGAGGGCAGCGTGTAAAATAGGAGCAGGTGAGCTAGTAGCAATGTATCTTGCATAATATCGTCCTAAAGGTCCGCTCGGTTGAACTTTTGGAACTGGTCCTTTTGGTAATTTTGAATAAAAATCACTAAGTGCTGCTGTTGAACCTGAAGCTCCAGCTATTCCACTAACCGAAATTTTTGGCGGAACAAGAGATTTAATTGAGCTCATGTTTTCTTTCAGAAGGTTTGAATAAATTAGGAGTAAAAAAGATTTTGATTTTACGGGTCAATTTTATCGCAGTATCCACAAAAAAATTCATCCCCCAGCCGGCATTACGGCATTAAAGAGAGTAATTTAAAAAAAGGAGGTGTGGCACAATTTTCACGTGATATACTCTGATTATCCGTATTTAATTAACAAATAAATTACATTAATTACATTGATTTTTCTGGGCAATCATCCGCAAAAATGTGTTTTTCAACATATGACTGTCAACCTGATGTATTATTTATTACGGGATATCCAAAACACTTTAATTTTTTTTCATTTAATTCTCTTTGAAGCAGTTTTTGTATATGGAACCAACTTCAAATTTAGTAGTAGGTGCAAGGTGTGAAATACAAGGAAAATTGGGAACAATTCGTTTTGTTGGACATATTACTTTTGCTACAGGAAAATGGGTCGGTGTAGAGCTAGACGAACCTTTGGGTAAAAATAACGGCTCGATCGCTGACGAACGTTACTTTGATTGCAAACAAAACCATGGAATATTTGTTAGGCCTTCACAAATAAAAATTATTGATTTGATTAATTCGCTTCAAAGTCAAGTAAGTATCAATGTATGATTTTAAGTGGAAACTTTATAGGATACAGTATATATGTAATAAACTTACAAAATGGTAGTTTCACTTCAGATTTAATAAATCAATAATATTTATTTCAATAAAACAAATTTTCAATTATTGCAACAGCAATATAACGTAGAGCATCCCCATAATCAAGCAGATGACGCTGATATGAAAGAAACAAAACAATCAAAACATCCATTGGAATTCTTATTTGGAACGTGGTATGGAGAAGGAAATGGTAAATTTGAAGGTATTTGTGATTTCGTTTATAATGAGGAAATTACCATCAACCCCGATGAAGCTAATAGAGGTTGGCTATATTATAGGTAAAGGAATTAATTAATTTTTTATTTAATTATTTATTTTATTTTTGCGCTACAAATAATTTCTCATAAAACGCGTAATTTTTTTTATAGGCAAAGAACGTGGAATCCTATGAAAAATAATTCAAACTTTCATAGCGAAGTGGGATATATTAGAACACCTGGAATGAGTGAAAAGATTGAATTGGTTTTGGCTCAACCAACAGGTATTCTTTAGATTATTTAAAAATGACGCATGGCTAAAAGGACTCTCCCGAAAACTCAAAAATGTTCTTTTTTTTAAGGAATCGCTTCAATTGAAGAAGGTAGAATCGATGGTACAACAGTCATGTTAAAATCAACTGATATTTCAAGATCTACCACTGCCAAGGTTATCTATCTAGATTGATTTAATTAAACATGAATTGATTTTTTTACTAAAAATAATTTATTTATTTTAGCCTCCTCACGTTGCGGAGTATAATCGGTAAAGCATTAATATATTTTAAATTTTAATATTTTTCTTGTATTGAAACTAATTTATAAAAAAAACAAAAGGACTTGGACAGTAGATCCTACGAACGAGTCAATGACGTGTGTATTTAATATGTCAACTCAAAGTAAACAAATGGCACGACATCTTTACTCCACTTTAAGAAGAATAGGAAGAATGCCAAAATAGATTTAAGCAATAATCACTAAAAAACTCAAGAGGTTTATTTGAGCATTTAATAATTATACGAAATATCAAATTTTTTATTACACGAGTCTTAATAAGCGAGTGTGCGAAATGAATCACAAAGTACATGATATATATGTGGCAGCGATCATCACAAATATCGAATATTAACTAAAATAAGGATATTAAGATATTTATTGTTTTGGATAAATATATAAAAATAAAGATTTGATAACATGGTTGAAACTAATATATATATATATATATATATATTTCTTAACGACGCAGTTGAGTTAAATTTATTAAATAATGGAAAAATAACTTATACCCCCGTAATATTTTAAATCCGTACTCTTCGAATATTATTTATATTAATATTTAATCCGTTGATTATTAAATTTTTTTATATTTATAATAATATCTTTGGAACCTAATAACTTTAATATGTTACCATCTATTAAAACCTTTGTCTCTGGAATATGATAAATACAGTCCGCGACATAAATATACGGAATTTATCGTGACAAATAAAATATTGGAAATTGTTTTATTAGTTTCATATTTATGCTATTAGTAGATTATAATATACTGATTAACATAATAAAAAAATTTAATAATTAATTGTAAACACTTTTTTTTTATAACCACTAATCCGACCTGACATACTGTACTATCCACTAAATTAAAGAAAACATTTTGATCAATTCTTTCCCATTCCTGCTAAATTATGCCTTGAAAAGCATCTGCACTAAGCACCTAATCCAATTATTAACCCTTTCCTCTACTTTTTGTTTAGAAATGGCCCATAAATTCTAGATTGGATTTAAGTTGGGGAGTTTGCAGACCAATCAATCACCAGAACATTATTTATCACAAAATTGTTAAGTGCATCCTGCTGTATAAGTTGATGCATTGTCTTGTTGGAAGCATCACCTGTAACCAGCATCATGAATACATCAGTAAATTTAATAATGCAAAGTATTACGTAAACCCTACGCTTCGTAATCTTACGTAAGGTTACGAGCCTGTCGGAAAACTTACGTATCGTAGTACTTCGATATTTTTACGATGTGTAATATTTCGAACGTTTACGATATATAAACT